CCTCACCTCTCTGCCCTCACCTCTGCTGCCCTCACCTCTCTCTACCCTCACCTCCTGCCTCACCGCTCTGCCCCCCATTCTCCCCTCACCTCTCTGCCCTCACCTCTCTACCCTCACCGCTCTGCCTCTCACCCTCTGCTCTCACCTCTCGCCCTCACCTCTCTGCCCTCACCTCTCTCAACCCTCCTCTGCCCCACCTCTCTGCCCCTCACTGCTCTCACCTCTCTGCCCTCACCTCTCGACTCTCACCTCGCTCTCACCTCGCCCCCTCACCTCGCGTCCTCACACTCTCGCCCTCACCTCTACCCTCACCTCTCCTGCGCCTCACCTCTCGGCCCGCACCTCTCGCTCCTCACCTCTCTGCCCTCCACTCTCTACCCTCACCTCTCTACCCTCACCTCTCTGCTCCTCCCTCTCTCCCTCACCTCTCTGCTCTCACCTCCCTCCTCCCTCCTACCCTCACCTCTCTGCCTCTCACCTCTCTGCCCTCACCTCCTCGGCCCTCACCTCTCTGCCCTCACCTCTCTGCCCTCACCTCTCTCTCCTCACCTCTCTCTCTCCTCCCTCTCTCGCTCCCCACCTCTCTTGCCCTCCTCACTCTCTCCCTCTCGCCCTCACCTCTCTGCCCTCACCTCCTCTCCCTCACCTCCTGCCCTCTCCTCGCTGCCCTCACCTCTCTCTCACCTCATCTCCCTCTCTGCTCCCTCACCTCTCTGCCCTCCCTCTCTACCCTCACCTCTCTCTCCTCCTCACCTCTCTGCCCTCACCTCTCTCCCCTCACCTCTCTGCCTCCTCTCCACCTCCTCACCCTCTCCCCTCACTCTCTGCTCCTCCCTCTCTGCCCTCACCTCTCTGCCCTCACCTCTCTACCCTCACCTCTCCCCTCTCGCCCTCACCTCTCTGCCTCACCTCTCTGCTCTCACCTCTCTACCCTCTCTACCCTCCCCTCCTCTCACCTCTCCCTCACTCTCTCTCCCTCACCTCTCCTCTCCCCTCTGCCCTCACCTCTCTACCCTCACCTCTGCTGCACCTCTCTGCCTCACCTCTCTCCCCTCACCTCTCCCTCTCTCACCTCCACCTCTCTCCTCACCCTCGCTCACCTCTCGCCCTCACCTCTCACCTCTCTGCCCTCACCTCTCTCCCTCACCTCTGCCTCTCCCTCGCTCTCCCTCTCATCCTCTCTCACCTCTCTCACCGCTCTGCCTCTCACCTCTCCGCCCTCACCTCTCTGCCCTCACCTCTCACCTCTCACCTCTCCTCCCCTCCCTCTCTGCCCTCACCTCTCTACCCTCACCTCTCTGCCTCACCTCTCTCCCTCACCTCTCTGCCCTCACCTCTCTCCCCTCTCCTCACTCCTCACCTCTCTGCCCTCACCTCTCCTCCCCTCACCTCTCTGCCCTCACCTCTCTCGCTCTCCCTCTGCCTCACCTCTCTGCCCTCACCTCTCTGCCCTCACTCTCTCCCTCACCTCGCTCCTCACCTCTCGCCCTCACCTCTCTCCCTCACCGCTCTGCCCTCACCTCTCTGCCCTCACCTCTCTGCCCTCACCTCTCTGCCCTCACCTCTCTCCCTCACCTCTCTGCCTCTCACCTCTCTGCCCTCTCACCTCTCTCCCTCACCCTGCCCTCTCCTGCCCTCACTCTCTCCGCCTCACCTCTCTGCCCTCCTCCCTCTCTGCCTCTCACCTCTCTGCCCTCACCTCTCTGCTCCTCACCTCTCTCCTCTCCCTCTCTGCCTCTCACCTCTCTGCCCTCACCTCTCTGCTCTCACCTCTCTGCTCTCACCTCTCTGCCCTCACCTCTCTGCCCTCACCTCTCTGCCCTCACCTCTCTGCTCACTCTCTGCCTCACCTCTCTGCCCTCACCTCTTCTCACCTCTCTGCCCTCACCTCTCTCCTCACCTGCTCTCTCTCACCTCTCTGCCCTCACCTCTCTGCCTCGCCCCTCACTCTCGCTCACCTGCTCCTCACTCTCACCTCGCTGCCCTCACCTCTCTGCCCTCACCTCTCTCCTCACCTCTCTCTGCCCTCACCTCTCTCCCTCACCTCTCTGCCTCCTCACCTCTCTGCCCTCACCTCTCTCCCTCACCTCTCTGCCCTCACCTCTCTGCTCCTCACCTCTCCTCTCGCCCTCACCTCTCTGCTCCTCACCTCTCTGCTCCTCACCCTCTACGCTCTCTCCTCACCTCTCTGCCCTCACTCTCGCTCTCTCCTCTCCTCTCTGCCCTCACCTCTCTGCCCTCCTCCTCTGCTCACCTCTCTGCCTCACCTCTCTGCCCTCCCTCTCTCACCCTCTCGCTCTCACCTCTGCTCCCTCACCTCCTCTGCCCTCACCTCTCTCGCCTCCTCTCGCTCTCACCTCTCTGCTCCTCTCCCTCTCTCCGCACCTCTCGCCCTCCTCCTCTCACTCACTCCTCTGCCCTCACCTCTCTGCTCTCACCTCCTCTGCCCTCCCTCTCTGCCCTCACCGCTCTCGCCTCCTCTCTGCCCTCTCCCTCTCTGCCCTCACTCTCTCGCCTCCCTCCCCGCTCTCCTCCTCCTCCCGCTCTCACTCTCTGCCTCACCTCGCTCTCTCCTCCTCTCACCTCTCTCTCCTCACCTCTCTGCTCCTCCCTCGTCTCCTCCCTGCCCACCTCTCTGCTCTCACCTCTCTGCCCTCTCCTCTCGCCTCACCTCCCTCCCTCACCTCTCGTCCTCACCTCTCTCCCTCCACCTCTCTCCCTCTCCCTCTGCTCCTCACCTCTCTGCCTCACCCTCGCCCTCTCCTCCATACACTCACCTCTCCTCCCCTCACTCCTCCTCTCTCCTCCTCTCCTCCCGCTCTGCCCTCCCTCTCCGTCCTCACCTCCTCTGCCCTCCCTCTCTGCTCTCACCTCCTGCCTCGCCTCTCCCTCTCTCCCGCACCGCCTCTCTCCTCACCTCTCTGCCCTCCTCCTCCTGCCTCTCCCTCTCTACTCCTCACCTCTCTCGCTCCTCACCTCTCTGCCTCCCTCTCTGCCCTCACCTCCTCCTCTCACCTCTCTGCCCTCACCTCTCTCCCTCCTCCCTCTCTGCCCTCCCCTCTCTCCCTCACCTCTCTGCCCTCACCTCTCCTCCCTCCCCTCTCTCCTCACTCGCTCGCTCCTCCCTCTCTACCTCACCTCTCTGCCCTCACCTCTCTGCTCTCTCCTCTCTGCCTCTCACCTCCTCCTCTCCGCTCCCTCACCTCTCTGCCCTCACCTCTCCTCCCCTCACCTCTCTCTCCTCTCTGCCCTCACCTCTCTGCCCTCACCTCATCTGCCCTCCTCTCCCTCACTCTCTGCCCTCTCCTCTCTGCCTCTCGCGCGCCTCACCCTCTCTGCCCTCACCTCTCTGCCCTCACCTCTCTGCCCTCCTCTCTCTCCCTCTCCTGCCCTCACCGCTCTGCTCCTC